ATTTTCTTCTTGTTATTTTTAAGGATGGAGAAAAACTTGTAAAAATAAATTATTAAATTTTCACGGAATCGATTAAGAGCGCATTTATTTCCAATAAGTCATCAATCTAAAAAAGTCAATTATAGATTGATGCATTCAATTTAAATTTATGACAATTTTATGAATAATTTTTTTTTAATTGCTGAAATGAGTTTTCTCATGTTTATGTAGATACATTACAGTCTGATTTTTGAGGATGACATCATCACACATATGATTTTTTCCTTATGGAAAATTGGATGACATTTTGATTTTTCACGCAGTCATAAGTAATAATTTTCATTGAGAGCTTAGGTTGAAAGATGTTTTGGATGCCTTACTTAAAAAGAAGTTTTTAAAAATGATTTTAAACATTGTTTTTAATTGGTTAAATAAATTTGATTTTGAAATTTTCTATTTTGAAACTTTTTTATACAATTTTAGAAAATCAGAGTTGAAGCTATAGAACCTTTTGAAGTCAATCTTTACAAATGAATTCTATCAAAAATGATTTTTAGATTTTTATCTTGCTCGCAAAATTATGAATTAATATTTTGATAAAATTTTATCAGCAAAAGAATAAAATTTATTTTGGTATTTAAGATTTTAATTTTATCGTTATCATTTTGATAAGATTTCGTAATTCTGTCCTTTTATTCCTCAAAGTTAAATAAAATTAGAAAAAATGCCACAAGTTTGATAACTTTGATGACTTTATTTGATCAAGATAATTTAAACATGGGATTTCATAATTTATATAATGATGACTGTTTTGATAGATAAATTATGAATAATCAGCGAATACGCAAGTAAAGTTACAATTTAGATTAAAATAAAAGAATTCAAAAATTAAACTTTTTTTTAAAACAGTCAGAAAATCAGCTAATATAAATGACTGTTCATTTTTATCATTCATAAATGACAAATTGAATTAGTGTCTAATGACAGCAACGCTGAGCAATCTAATGTGAAAATTTTATTAAGTCATTTACATAAGTAATTGAATTAAAATTTTTAAAGGCTAATAAATTAGAAATCAATTAACTAGAACACGACTATCATAAATGAAAATGTGATTTGTATTAACACGCAAAATCTTAATTCTAATGGATCATATGGTTTATAAGAACACAAGCAAACATTGTTGACAAACGGAATTGAAGCATGAGTAATAAAAATTTTAATTGCTAAATTTCTGATCAAAAATCAATTCAAGCCGCAAGCAAGACAATTTGAATAATAAAACGATTTCATTTCAAGCTAGAATGTGCCGAAAGAAATTGCTATTAATATAATATTTTTCAATTACCCATAGCGAAAAATCAATCGATTATTTTTTCTTCTCACTGTGCAGATTCTCAAGTTCACATGATTTTCATTTAATAGCTTTAATAAATTAAAAGTTTGAAGCACCACATTCGGCCCATTCGAGATGAAAAAAGAGTGTGAAAGAGTGCCTCTTTAAAAATGTAAATATCTTCCACTCACTCAAATTCACGTCGACAAACAAAAAAAAAATTCTTCAAGCATTCCATTAGAATTTGATTTACGTGTATTAAATAATATGGGATATAGCGGAGCTTACTTGTTGTGAATATGAAGATTATTTTTGCACATGATTTGTTTATCGGCTTAATTTGTTATTTTGAGATTTCTTTAGAATAACTTTTGCTGAATAGAAAAGATCTATTAACAAATGATGTCTATTAAAAATCAAACAACTCAATTATTTTGTTGGGCTTACAGATCAACTGTTGTTGGCTTTTGCTTGCCAATTACCGACTCTTTTAACAACCTCCTTCAATTTTAAATTCAATTTCCCCCTCTTTAATTACAAATGCATATTTATTGCCACTAGATTCTGAATCTCTTTCATATAAATGAATAACTCTTAAAAAAATTAATGCTTAATATTTTGTTGATTTACAAAAAATTGCAATGCATTTATCTCTAAATTGCAAATATTCAGGTGGTATACAAAGTGAATACAATTTTCTATGCATCTGTCTCATACCTTGTAATGGATACCTATCAGTTCTATTCATTTATGTATCACTCCAGGTGGAGTTTTGGGACATACGGGTTCTTGCAGATGTAGATTACTTTATAGTCTAATAAACACAAGTTTTATGATTTTATGACAGAACATTACCTTTAATGACGGTAAAGCTTATGTCTTTAATTTTGATATAAAAAATGTTTAATTTTGCTTTATTGCTGTTGTAGAAATAAAAGTTCACAAGTCTAAGTCATTTGCTTGATTGTTACAAGCAAGTCACAAACTGAGAAATTTCGGTAATCATGAAACAGTTTAGATGCAACCATAAATTTATGTCAACAGTTTCTGAGATGAAGCTTAAGTGAAAAAATGCGCAATCTTCTTCAATTCATATCAATTTAAAGTTGAAGTTTTTTGTTTTTGGGAGAAGATGACATTTTCGCAGCATTTAGTATCCTCTTTTCTCTTTGTGTCGCTAATTCGCATGGTTTTGTGATTTTTTAACATTTCACTTTTGACATTACACAATGAGGTTTTGTGGCTTATAAAAATGAATAATTTAGTGGATATACTCACTGTTGAACAAATATATTTTTCTGGTTGATCCATAACGCTTGATGGGAGACTTTATGTGATTTTGATCGTCTTCGTGCTCATCCATGATGGCTTGTTGTAAACTTTTATTAATTCCTTTACAAACTACAAAATTCTTATTGATTCTTTTTATGACTATAATAAGTTATTATTTGTTCCTTTATGTTGAAGTTTTTTTTTATAACATGAACGTTACGTCAACATTAACACATTTCAATTGACCATTTCCTTCCTTTTGCCTCACATAAATAAATAAGTGAAATTACACAATTTTTTTGTTATAAAAAATATTTTCTTGACTGCATTAAATATGATAATTTAATTCCACTTTAACTGGTCATATTATAAAATGCTCGAGCACTGCGCTGTGTTTTTCTTATGCTTCTTTTTTTCACTTTCAGTTTTATTTTATGTATAAAAAAATCTTCGCTGTGTTGTTCAATTTGTACAGTTCTCGTGATTTGTTTGTTTAACGTTCATATGGATGGGATCTTTTTGGAGGGTGTGCTTGTCACAAAAGATTTAACATTTCACATTTATTTTCTTAACGGAATAGAATTCTTCATTTGTTATGCTTTACGAGCATCTATTCTAGTATGAAATATTAAACAAAAATACACACACGATTTGAATTTAAATAACAACAATTTATTGAGGCACTTCTTTCTTCTTGTAGCTTTTTTTTTGTTTTCTTTAGCTTTTTTTTTTTTGAAGATATGCAAATAATATCTTTTGTGTATTTAAAACAACAAATCGATCATCATCATTTCCATCATGTATTGTACACTATTTTTATATGCTTCGTTACCGAAATCGAGACACGTTTTCTTTCACGAATCATGTAAATTTATTCCGTAAGAATAAAAATTTATTTTTTTTTTCGCAACGAAAAGGAAGAAGACTGTCTTAATAAAAAGTGAGAGCTAAGTTCGCAGATTATAAAAAAAAAATTCCTTCTTCACCTATAGTCTATCGCTTATTTCCACTTCTCAAACCAAAAAAAAAGAGTAATTTAAAGAAGAAGACTTAATTTATTCTAACAAAAAATAAAACTATGGTTTTATATGAGTGAATGAATGTAAATATACGTGTGCTATGCGCCACATGTAACTTTATACTGAGACTCTCTACTGAGTTTTTTTTTATTTTTCAAAACCGATCATGTCTCTCACGGAAACTCTTTCTCTTTCGTATTATATTATGCTCTGATATGAACTTACTATTCTTCTTATTGGAAAGTTTTGACTTATTTTCACGTACAGATGGCGTTTTAAAGTAATTAATTTCAAATAAGGTAAAAAGATCTCGGAATGTGTTCAAACTGGTAGAATGTTGATGTAGGTGGATAATTGACATGGGAAATAGAATTTAGATTATTTTTAAGGTGCTGCTAGAATTTTACTGTATGATGTAGATTTATAGATTAATTTGAAATTAAAATTGAAAGTTATGAAAAATCTTGCTGTCTGTCATTTTTCAGTCAAAATCTTTGTTATATCCACAACACACTTTGATGTGCCTAATCATTTGACTTTACTCTTGGGATATTGACTCGAATATTGCTTTACCACAGATTTCAATTGTCTAAATCTCCACAGCTCAATTGATATTTGGCAGATAAATTTACCTTCATTTCCAGATGTTCAACCTTTCCAAGTCTTAAACTAACCCGAGAGGCACAAATCCGGTGTGACTCTGGCATGGTGCTAGATTGAAATCGAAGCTAGCATCATGCCAGAGTCATGGCAGCTTCGTGTCGAATTTCTATTCGATTATCTGACTTGTGACATTCGCTTAAGTTACTAAATTCATCAAACTTTGCTTTATTAGCTCCAATTCACTTCCAAAATTCAATTCCATTTTGAATTTTTGTAAAACTTTGTGGTTGAATCAATTTGTTCACAACATTTGATATCTAATCGCTTAAAGGCAACCTACTTTCTTCACTTAGTCATCGAATCATCACATTAATTAATCCACAAAGCACATCAAAATCGAATCAATTGATTTTTATTCATGAAAATTCTATTAAATTGAAAATAATGACATCACAGGCAGAATAAAAATGCTTTTATTTGAAAAAATAATAATAGCACGCGAGTACAATTCATATGATTAAAATAAAATAGTAGGAAAGAAAAAAAAAGCATAAGAGCAGTAAGCATGAATTGTTAAACATTTTCACGAACCGTGTTAAATGGCTTATAATGAGATGCAGTTATTGTATTTCGCGTAAAGTGCGTGTCTATTTACATTCTCTTTTATTGTAACTGTGTGAAATAGCATGTGCTGTTCAATTTTTTGACTGGTTTTAATAGAAAATCTTAATCAATAAGTGTTCGAGTGGTGTGAAGGAAATAACCTATATAAGCTATTCGTTATTGGCATTTTATCGTGATAGGAGCTCTTAGAAAAAATGTCTTCACATTTTAAAGTAGGATTTGCAACATACGAGGAAGTTATTGAAGCTTTGAGGGATCTCGATAAGCTGATTATTGATGTCAGAGAACCTGCTGATATTCAAGTTTCTGGGCAAATTCCAAAAAGTATCAATATTCCATGTAAGTATAAAAATTAATTTAAGCACATCCAATGTCTATCGATTTTCCTTTGTCCTTAACAGTGAGTAAAATTTATTCGGAACTGAGACTTTCAGCACCAGCATTTAGTGCAAAGTATGAACGAACTAAACCAGGTCCATACGATGAAGTCATCTTTTATTGTAAATTTGGTGAACTGGCTCAAGTTGCAGCAGAAACTGCACTCAGTATTGGATTTAGAAAGTAAGATGATGTCGATATTAAGATCATTAGCATATGTCATACGAACAAATGATTTTCTATTCAATGAATTTGAATATTTACGCATGCTTTCTTTGTCTAATATTTGTATGTCATTTACAGTGTGAAAATCTACAAAAATGGATTTAGCGAATGGACGTACAAATGGGTGAGTATTTCTTATGGTTGAATTTGACAAAAAAAAACTATCCAAATTAATTAGGTTTGTCGGTTTAATTAGCATAAATTGGAAATGATTAATTAAACATTTCTTTTTGAACTGCGTTATTATTCAGTCCTACTTCCATAAAAATTATTCGAATTACTCTTTTTGAGTTTAAAAGGGAATTCAAAGAAATTGTACAAAAAAAATGGCAATTAATTTTAATTATAGAATAAAAGTTGTTATGAATGTGAGTTCTCGATCGAAAATTTTTGTAGGCACATCTGGTGTTAATGAGCAAGAACCTTTTTTAAAGATGATGCTCAGATCACTGGTTGTGAAGAAATTGCATATTTTTGAGGGGAGACATTTCTTGTAAAAATTTTAAAAGTTTCGTGCGAGATTGAATGATTTTGAGGTTTAAAAACAGGCAAAGTGCTTCGATAATTGACAACTGCAACAAGCAATCATTATATAGAAATTATTGTTGTAACTTCTCACAATTTTTTCAAAAGAGTAAACTACTAAATGAAAGAATTTTAAAGTTCTATCAAGATTTTTGCTTGTTACATGCAAATATGTATCAAAAAATGTTGAAAAAAGAAGTTCACCAAATGGTTCATCCCAAGCGGGTATCTAACCTCGCACCTCTCGATTGCCGGTCAAGTGCTCAGAGCACTAAGCTATTCAAAAGAGTAAATTGGACGATAAATTTGATAAAAATCATCTAAACCACACATTAAATTCATTAGAGACTCAAACCCGATCGGCATACATTGACTCAAACGCCGGGAGGCAACTAGTGCATCGGGTAGAAACCCAATGCGGATATATTCACACCGTACCATCAAAAGTCTTATGGATAGACCAAGATTTGCTCAGCATAAGTGTGAAGGGTGGGCATGAAGTACGGCCGAGACCCATATCGACACAGTTCAAAAGTTATACCTAATTTATGTTATAATTATGTCAGCTACAAAAACACTTAGTTTGAAGTTTGTCACCCTCGGGAACACTATGAACCAGTATAGCTGATTTTGGTCCAAATCTCGGCCATACTTCACACTTATTTGAACCACATTTTCTCGTAAATGTTAAAATATTATTAAAAAGTAATTAATCCTGAATTATGTCACTATTTTGTCAAGTGTTTTAAGATAAAGAATTTGTTTTTTGGTTTCCACAGTGAAGAGTATGAACAAAATTCAGATGGGGTAGTCGAAATTTTAGATTTCGATTTTTTTTAAGCTATGCATTACAAAAAGTAATATTGGTATGTGATTTATGTCAGAATTATGCCAATTCAAATAAAACATCCAAAAAATTTTTTTGACCAAAGTACACCATAGAAAATCAATTTTCAATTTTGGACTAGGGGCGACCCTAGTCAAAATCAATTTTGTCACTTTTTTCTTCGAGGGTTTATCCAAATGGATTGAAACTTTGCATAAATATTTTAGTGCTTAAAACAAATACAAATAAAACATCTTAAAACTTTTTTGAGCAAAGAACCAAGTAGGAAATACATTTTCAATTTTGGACTAGGGGCGACCCTAGTCAAAATCAGTTTGTCACTTTTTTTCTTCGAAGGTTTATCCAATTACAGTGAAACTTTGAGTGAGTATACTAATATTTATACAAAACAGTTTTAAATATCTAAAGGCAGAAATGTATTCTATATGTCATCAGACCCAAATTTTATAAATTTGGTTGTACATTCAAAAACAACGTGACTTAAAATTTTGTCCGAAAAAATGATTTTTATTAATTCAGAAATGTGTGACCTGAGGATTAGAATGCTCATACAAAAATTTACTGTATTTGGATTTATCCTCGAAGAAAAAAAACTGAAAAACTAGATTTTGACTAGACCTGTCCCAAGTTCATAATTGAAAATGTATTTCCTCCTTGGTTCTTTGCTCAAAAAAAATTTTAGGATGTTTTATTTGTATTTGTTTTAAGCACTAGAATATTTATGCAAAGTTTCAATCCATTTGTATAAACCCTCGAAGAAAAAAGTGACAAAATTGATTTTGACTAGGGTCGCCCCTAGTCCACAATTGAAAATGTATTTCTACTTGGTTCTTTGCTCAAAAAAATTTTAGGATGTTTTATTTGTATTTTTTTTAAGCACTAGAATATTTATGCAAAGTTTCAATCCATTTGTATAAACCCTCGAAGAAAAAAGTGACAAAATTGATTTTGACTAGGGTCGCCCCTAGTCCACAATTGAAAATGTATTTCTACTTGGTTCTTTGCTCAAAAAAATTTTAAGATGTTTTATTTGTATTTGTTTTAAGCACTAGAATATTTATGCAAAGTTTCAATCCATTTGTATAAACCCTCGAAGAAAAAAGTGACAAAATTGATTTTGACTAGGGTCGCCCCTAGTCCAAAATTGAAAATGTATTTCCTACTTGGTTCTTTGCTCAAAAAAATGTTTTCATCCAAAGTTTAATTTTTAAAAAAAATCACAGTGAACTTTTAATTTGAAAAATTCGTAAGAAAGGAAAGTTTTTAGCTTTTTCTGAAGCAACGGCTGTTCCTACCTTGCCTAAAAACAATACAGCTCTTTTATAGAGCAGCACGGATCAAATGTAAAAAATTAGAAGTCTCTACAATGTCTCGTTTTTGAGATTTCTTGCTGATTAACTTGCTTGTTTGCTTGCTTACAGAAAGCATATTTAGCGATTTTCTCAGCAATGCCCCAACCAATTTGAAATCTGTTTTTTTTTGCAAAAGATGTGGAATTCAAGCCACAAACTTTTCATCTCTGAACATTTTAAGCTATCTTGCTCCATATCCTCACAAAATTCAAAAAACTGATTTTTCAATCTGAACAAAAACAAAACATTCACACGTGAAAACGGTGTGAATATAAATATTTCAATGAATTTAAACATTTATTAAGATATCCTCAGAATGCTTAAATTGCATTTGGGACCGTTCACTTCTTACGTTACGCAAAAAAACGACTTTTTTCACCCCCTCTCCCTTGTTACAATATTTTACAACTCACACCCCCCCCCCCCCCCCCTGAACGGTCATAATTTATTTTATTATATTCACACCGTTTTCACGTGTGAATCTATTGGTTTTGTTCAGATTGAAAAATCAGTTTTTCGCATTTTGTAAGAAAACAAAGCAAAATTGGTTATAAAAGGGAAAGAAGAAAAGTTTGTGCCTAAAATTTTACATCATTTTCAAAAAACAGATTTCAAATTGGTTGTGGCATTGCTGAGAAAATCGCAAAATACGCTTTCTGTAAGCAAACAAGCAAGCAAGCAAGCAAGCAAGTTAATCAGCAAGAAATCTCAATAACGAGACATCGTAGAGACTTCTAGTTTTTTACATTTGATCCGTGCTGCTCTATAGAAGAGCTGTATTGTTTTTGGGCAAGGTAGGAACAGCCGTTGCTTCAGAAATGGCAAAAAACTTTCATTTCTTACGAATTTTTTAAAACAAAAGTTGACTGTGATTTTTATAAAATTCAACTTTGGATGAAAATTTTTTTTAAAAAACTTTTAAAGAATATTTGGCATATTCGTCAAGCTTTATACCTTCAAACTTATGCTGAGCGTAGCTCAGCTGACTCGATAGCTTTATAACTTCAACTTATGCTGAGCGAAGCTCCACTGCCTCTCTAATTTCATATCTTCAAACTTATGCTGAGCGTAGCTCAGCTGACACTCTAGCTTTATATCTTTAAACTTATGCTGAGCGTAGCTCAGCTTACGCGATAGCTTTATAACTTCAAACTTATGCTGAGCGAAGCTCAGCTGCCTCTCTAGCTTCATATCTTCAAACTTATGCTGAGCGTAGCTCAGCTTACGCGATAGCTTTATAACTTCAAACTTATGCTGAGCGAAGCTCAGCTGCCTCTCTAGCTTCATATCTTCAAACTTATGCTGAGCGTAGCTCAGCTTACGCGATAGCTTTATAACTTCAAACTTATGCTGAGCGAAGCTCAGCTGCCTCTCTAGCTTCATATCTTCAAACTTATGCTGAGCGTAGCTCAGCTGACACTCTAGCTTTATATCTTCAAACTTATGCTGAGCGTAGCTCAGCTTACGCGATAGCTTTATAACTTCAAACTTTTGCTGAGCGAAGCTCAGCTGCCTCTCTAGCTTCATAGCTTCAAACTTTTGCTGAGCGTAGCTCAGCTTACGCGATAGCTTTATAACTTCAAACTTATGCTGAGCGAAGCTCAGCTGCCTCTCTAGCTTCATATCTTCAAACTTATGCTGAGCGTAGCTCAGCTGACACTCTAGCTTTATAATTTCAAACTTATGCTGAGCGTAGCTCAGCTTACGCGATAGCTTTATAACTTCAAACTTATGCTGAGCGAAGCTTAGCTGCCTCTCTAGCTTCATATCTTCAAACTTATGCTGAGCGTAGCTCAGCTTACGCGATAGCTTTATAACTTCAAACTTATGCTGAGCGAAGCTTAGTTGACTTATCAAGCTTCATACCTTCATACTTATGATGGGCAAATCTTGGTCTATCCATAAGACTTATGATAGTACGGTGTGAATATAATCCGCATTGGGTTTCTACCCGATACACTAGTTTTGATAATTTTTTATAGGTAGTTATTAAGAACATTTAAATTTTATTCATAATTCATCATAGTTTTTCTTTATTCATATTATTATTATTGGACACATTTACATATTGAATTCAACCTTTAAAATAATTAAACATTTTCCCAAATTTGTTTTAAGTGATTATCAATCGAAATTAAATTATCAAACTCTAAATTTTGAACTATTTCTTCATGTACCACAACCATATGCTCAGATTCGATCCAGTCAACATCATCTTTTAACAAAACCATCAATTCATAAATCTTGATTTTGATGTCAAATTTTTTTCGTGAACTTTTTTTTAAAAGACAGACGACAGTTAGAACGTCACATACTTCTTGACACCCCCCCCCCCCCCCTATGTTACATTTTGTTACAATTTTTCAAACCCCCTCCCCCCTAAAATGCGAACGTAATAAGTGAACGGCCCCTTTGAGCATCTACGAGGATGTTGGATTAGAATTGGCAGCTGCTTGAAAGTTCAATGAACGATTCAATTTTGAATCCGGAATCAAACCGGCAAAAAAGAAACTCAAGATGTTTACTTCCACAAAGTTCTCAGAAAACTTTCAATATTATATTTAAATTATATCCTCTCTTGAAATCAAAACAAATCAAGCAAGGCTAGTTGAAACTTTTAGATAATCACTTTCGAAATGAGTAATGATGATTTTCAAGTTAATGCCATAAAAAAACTGGTAAACAACAGCCTTCAAAATATTTGGTAAATTATTCAGACGACAATGTTTTGAATGAAGGAAGCGGTGATATGCTAAATTAAGTCAGTAATACTGTCACATTCAGAATATTATTTTTATTATTTGCATGCTGTGCATACTTTAACATTCTAAGACACAATACAACTTTCATTTTTAAATATTAATACTTTATATCCTATCTTTATTTCTCATTACTCAAACAGGTTGAATGGGATGATTGGGTTGATCCTGAAAAAGCAAAACAACACGATTCTTATAAAAATGCCTGAATTAATTACATTTTGACTATGTCTTTCAAAATCTAAAGCATATCACAACCAACAGGAGTTAAATATCAATCATATTTGCACATGGAATGAACGCTTAAATATTATTAATGTAGTCAAGAAGTAAACGAACCAAAACTATAGCGCATGCCACTTAGTCAACAACAAAAGAAGAAAAAAATGCAACAAAAACGTAAAGTCACACACATATTAGTCTAAGCTGGAGAGAAAAAAATTCTCTTTTTTTTTGTTTAACTTATTGAGATTTTTTTTTTGCTCACGGCATATTTTTTTACTCGATCATTCTCTGTTGAACAGTTGTGTCGTTCATTTAGTCTAGTGAAGATTGAATAATTATAAAGTAAACTTTAGAGCGATAAAAAGATTTTTTTTAAGTATTTTAAGTTCGTGTTATTAGCACTTTTTGCGTCTCTTTTTTGATTGACATAAAGTAGAAAATAAAGATGTGGTAAGCAAGAATTTTCAATTACTTAAAAAATAGAAACTCAATTAATTAACAATAGGAAAATTATTTTCAGCTACAAGCAGCATCTGTTACTTGTTTTCTGTCTGGTTGCACTGACTCACGGAAGAAAAGTAAATCAAAATTTTCCACTACTCGAATTTCATGAAATTCATGATGTAAAATTAATAATTGATTATAAAAGTGTTGAGTTGTCAATAACCAGAAATGTCTATAATGAGCTTGAGGAGCTGATGCAAGATTTAACGAAATTCGATTGTGAATTTGATATTTGCAAAGCCGAAAAACGATTCTTAATTGACGAAATTCTTCAGAAAAATTCTACACTTATCAACATTTCAAAGTTGCAAGTAAAGAACTTGAATCGTAAGAAGCGTGAATGGGCTCCATGGGGAAATTTCCTCAAGTGGTCTGGCGGTGTCATGAATTCTGATGATCGAAGTGATTTGCACAGATATTTAGTGAATCTATATGAAAATATAACAATACTTGGACAAAAAGTAACCAAATTAGAGTCGAAAACCAATCAACCAGCTCAATTGAAAGCGGAAGTAAATAATGAAGAAGTCAATAAACTTAAGAGAGATGTGAGACAGTTGAAGGAAAATATGCGAATTCAAAATTTCAAGGAGCAATTTACTAAAATTTCGGTCATTGCCGATGCTGTCTTATCATCATACATAAATGGAAATATCGATGGATTGTTGATTGATGAAGAATTGCTTAATAATTTGGACAGCGTGAGAAATTCATTACGCAATGATCGTCAGTTTACCTGTGAAAATTCACTGGATTGTATCAGAAATGCCAAAGCTAAAATTGTCTTCAAAAATGAGAATTTTCATATAGTTTTGGAACTGCCTATTGCCACGACCAGAACAATGAAACTTTATAAAGTTGAATCGATTCCTGCAGCATACAGTAATTATGTTCTTATCTTAAAACCACAACACAAATATTTCTTGTTCGACGAAAAAAATGAGGAATTACTGACTACAAATGAAAACTTTATGACTAGCTGCATATCAAATGACTCTGATGACATGTATTGTAAAGCCGACGATATAATTAAAAATGCAAACAAAATGGATTGCTTGTTTACAGCTCAACGCGATAATATAATCGACATTGAAGTTTGTGGAAACAAAATGGAACTTTTGGAATTGGAAAGCTTTGCCGTCATCAAAATGGACAAAGGAACATTTTGGATTTTCAGTGAATCGTCAAATACTATAAACACAAGCTGCCATGGAGATAACATGCAGAGTAGAAACTTAACAGGAGTTGAAATAATAAAATTGCCATACGGATGTCATGCAGATATTAATAATATGAAGCTTATCTCTTACAGTACAGACGTTGAAAAACAAACTGAGTCATTCTATGCAAATATATCGATAGAAAGTTTTAAGCAGATTATCAAAAATATGGAATCGACTGTTGATCTTAGTGAAGATATTCCCTACGATCTTCAAACAGCTCATCCATCTGGTCTCAAGGAGAAAACATACAAACGTGATGATTCATGGCAAGCCAAAAATCAATATCAGGAGAGCGAGATAAAAATTCTACAAGCTGAGCATAACAAAGCATTAATCATAGCATTAATTATCGCCGTTGCAGCTTTACTGTTCATTGTATTTAGGAAGCATAGATCGATCTTTATTATGACAAATTCTGATAAAGATTTAAAAGACATAAATTATGACGAGCAGAGCATAAATTCAGAAATTGATGTGAAATTGAAAGCAGATATAAAGTAATTTTCTAACTGGCCTTGCAAGGGCAAAAGTCTATTTATAATTGATTGAGAAATCAGTAGTCACTAGTTTATTGCATTTGAATGTTTACGAATGGAAAGAGAAGATGTTTGAGAATATCTGATGTGTTTTTTTTAAAATTCTATATTTCTATTAGTTTAGAATGACTATACAACCAATAGGGTCTTTAGATATATTAAGTTAAAGAAAAGGTCAAAGCTACGACTTACGCACTTCCGAATATGATCGAATTATTTATGTATATCTTGATGATGTACAAATTTTATGCACTGAAAGAATTAATTTAATTAATAAAGTAATTAAGACCTTTAAACTTTCTGTTGAGTCATAAGCTTCTATATTACTACGCAAAGAATTACTCATAAGTCTTTTGATAGAAACTAATTTTAATTTGAACTTTAAGCTTCTGAAGAAGACTACATTTCCGACCTTGGCAATCCAAAATGCGGTCAGATTTTGAAATATTTTAAAAATAATGTGAAAGTATTGCCAATATGACTGCAGAGTCCTGCTTTTTCCATAAACTACCCTCATATTTACTGATTAAAAGTCAATTAAATTTATTTTTAAAAACAAATAAGTAAGCTCTTGACAATAAATATGCAAAATTGCGTTTTAAAAATTCTGATTTTCAAGAACTTATTTTTAAAATGAATATTTTTGAATATTAAATTAAATGTGAAGAAGTAGCTTATAAAGATGTTGATGTACGTCATTAATGAACGACCACTATTGTAATGTGACAGGCAATGATGATCTTTAACAATGATGTACTAAGTCATAGTAATAGGTTGTTAACGATTGCTGAACAAGCCACAAACATTTCATAATAGCAGTAATCGTATATTTCTTGGTAATAAAGCTTCGGTTTTATAAATTTACTTAAATTTACTGCAATATCGAATATCAGAGAACTACTAAACTACTCCTGTGTTATTTTTGTTCTTAAGATGAAAACAAAAGCATTGAGAATTACAATTTGTAAATTACGAATTTTCACCAAATTATGCAAAAATCTAATCTAGGTTTTTAAATTATTTAAAGAGAAGCAAAAACTCACGTATTTCTCTCAGATTCTCCCAATATTTTCTTCGCATTTTAAGTAAAAATTCTGGGAACTTACTTTAAAATATCTGCTTATATTCTAAGTACTTAGATGATATTTAAATTCAACCAATTAAATTCTGACCAAATTTTTGCGATTGCTCAAGAGTTATATCCAAAAACCATTAAAATAACCTCATTAAAACCCCAAAAAAAAAATATTAATATACCCGTATCAAATGCCAGAATTAACATCAGCATTATTTGATGTCAAAACTTTTTATTCATGAATGAGCATTTTTCAGCTACAGTAAGCCTACCATTGTTGACTGTTCTGAAAACTCACATGAAAGTTTTCTTTTGTTTCGAAATATTAATAAATCTAGACAGAATGAAGTACAGCTAGCAATACAATAGTTTGTAAGCTTTTTCCAGACATATTATCGCCGTGACTGAATTACGGCGTGAAAATATCGAGGAAAATTAAAATTATAGTTTCATAATGGAATGATATAGCCACGAAAATTGAAAAGTAAGCAAGTTTTTATGTCATTTAATTTTTTTATTAAGTTCTAAAACATTAAACAAAATCTTTTTGATTGTGATCGAATAAAAATTAATTTTAACATTTATGTTCTAAGAAGTTGGAATAGTTTTGGACGGAAAAATGTAATTTAAAAAATATTTCAGATTTACTAATCAGATCTAAAATTTTGGACGGAATGATTGTTTATTTATAAACTAATTTATATCCTAAACATGAAAGGCACACAACAAGAATGCTAACAATATTGACAAACTTGTCCCTAATTTCGTTGCTGAGTTGCGGTAAATTACCCAATCAAATATCTTGAAGGTATTTTCTTGATTTAAAGCCCACGGATTCTCGCCATCGTCAAAATGTAATGGACATTGATCTCGTTCTCTTTCGTATTCCACCAAATCGAGTGACACAACAGCACCTTCTGTGTAATTCTGTGACGAAACTTCTTGATTAATATGGCAAAAAGCACCAACAGCTTGTGACATAAGAACGCGATTCAAATCAGCACGTTGATAGACCCAACAGCGATATTTACTCAATGGATCGAGGTCGTCAAACGTAATCAAATAAGACTTAAGATTTTCCTTCCAGAATCCAATGCATTTCATTTTGTAATCAGGATCAGAGTAAATATCAACTGGACGTCCTAAATGATCAACAGAAAGGCAATAGTTTTCATCAATCCACATTTCCTTTTGATCTGTATCACAAACACTAAGATCTGAAATATTTTGCTTGCATCTGATATCAGGACGTGGACTTAATGTGACACCACCAAGAATTCTAGTTCTAAATTTATGTTCGCCTTGTTGAGTAAAGTTGAATTTTCCAGCAACGGGACAACGAACAGGTACTGGATGTTTTGCCAAGAATAAATCATATCTCCATTGTTCCTTATTTGGAAATTGTACCCACGAGCATACTGTACTGAAATCATCCTTAATTACAGCTAATCCTTTGCGATATCTAATGATATTATGATGCTTTGGTACGAAATCGAAACATATGTAATCCTTTTGACATCCATCGACTGTCAAACGTGCCATCATAATTCTTGTATCTCTTTGTTCTCGGCAAACATAAACTGTACGACGGTAACGTGATTTATCTGGATAGTAAGTTTCAATGATATGTGTCTCATTAATGAAAACATCAGCATCGATATTAGCAGTATTAATCCATTCACCACTAAAATTTTGTGGCAATCGACAACCAGGCTCAACAACTTCAGCCTTAACTGGTGTAATTCTCAATCTTTCTGGTGACTTTTCAACTGTCTGGAGGGTATTACATTCAGCAGTAATACTAACACCAAGGTACAAGTCATCATCACGATTTTTCAAGAAGCAACGGAATTTTTCATCTTTACGAGATTCTTTTGTATTTGCGACAGCAAAATAATGATTCTTTCCAACAAACCAGTCACCTAGACAGCTGTACTCAACAACACCATCAAATGTTCCATCCATTCCTGGACATTTTTTGTAAGTAATGTTAAACTTTTGATTTGTAATTAAAAACTGTGTACCGGCTGTCTGACATGACTGAATTTTTGCATCTGGATTATCACATTCACCGGTGAAACGGAAGCGATTTTGATATGCAAATTGCCATACACCTTCAAGTGATGAACGACACAATAGAGGAACGTAATTCTCATTGAAATACGTAATCAACTGTTGATCACGACGAATTCCTTTACAAACATTCTCGAATGTTGGAACCTCTCCACTGTTGATGTTGACGCAAGGGCTTTCAAGTTTCTCAAATATATTATTGGTTCTAAAAATGAATTAATATGTCATTAAAGATTCTTATAAGACTTATTGGCATTTTCTACCTGGTGAATGCCTTTATGCAGTAATAACATGCTCTGTCTTGAAATATCATCGTATAATCACTTCCATTACGCTCAACTTTAATAATGCGACCATGATCACTCATTTTGTTAACATCCAATGTGGTCGTAATTGGTTTACCCTCCCATGAGAACCAGCTACCTCTTAAAATTTTCGGAATCTCAATACCATCTCGGCGTTGAGCATTTGCTAAACCTGATAATGAGTCACAAAAATGATTTTGATTGAATAAAATATTTTTGTTCGTTGCAACAGGGCGTTGTCATAGAGATTAAATGTCTTCAACATTTTTATGCGTATTTAAAGTTACTCACCAAAAGTAAACACTAGCAACAACAGTAATGTTATCTTATCCATGTTTGCATCTACTTTATAATAATCTTAACTATTGAATAAATGAGTAATATTTAAAAATACTAAATATTTAAGCAAACATGATAATAAACACAATGGTACGTACGTAATTAATCGATCGTTGGTTGTGCACGTGCAGGGTTGTGGTTGGATTTGAAAAGTTTGAATCAGTTATTATTATGAGTCAAGGATTTATACAGACTGTAGAACTATCATGAAATTTACATAACGCTTTTAGGAAGGAGGGGGGGGGGGGGGGGTATTGTGAGCTTTTGTGACAGTTAAACTTGATCAGCACACATTGAAGTGTTTGTCATTCGGCTGATAGTATAATCGGAACCAAGCGCTTGAAAGCCATTTCCAACTGGAATTGCCAATTCTAATTATACTATCAACCCGCCGGGTTTCAACATTTCAATGAATTTCAATGTGTGCCGATCGGGAAAACAAACAAAAATTTTCATTATAGAAATTATGGGACATGATAAAGGAAGGGGGGGGGGGGAGTGCTTAAAAACTCAATTTTTAGGCGAACGGTTCTTGGGGTTGGAGGGTTTATGATGCATTCATAAGAATTTAATATAGGTACCAATTTAAAAACTTAGGTTATACCTAAGCAAAAATAGTTTATCTATATAAATTAATGCTAAAATGATCGATAAAGACAAGAAATTTTTATTTCATAAAAAATATAATCAATTTTATTTCAATCTTAAAGTCTAAAAAGTTTCAACAATAATAACTTAAATCGTGCATAAACATGTTCAATTTTGATTCTTATTTCTAGGTAGATAAATCGCAAACTCATTTTTTGATCGAGAAATTTTATTTTAACTTTCTCGGTTCTTTCTGAATCTGCTAAAATCCTCATGCTATGATTCTATAGATTTTTTGTGACTTAGTCCAAGATCCTTTGAATTTTTCAGTTAATCACTCTTATTATCTATGCAGATGCAACTCTTATCGATAAATATGACTGCAATATGAAGTAAAGATTCAAACTGATTCTGACGCCCCAGACGTTATCCTTAAAATTAATGGTACTCATAAATGTGAATGAAGCTTTAAATTTTCTTGTGCTGATTCATCATGAGCAATTGGAATCGTCTGTTGAGTTTCACACTTTTCAGCCATGATGCAGCACGACTGAGATTATTCTTCTGCTCTAAAGTTGCTTTTTCGGTGTCAATTGTATTTGGTTGGAAAGAAAATCGCTTTTCATTATCAGCCTTGAATTTCTTGCTTGGATTCGACTCTGAATTTTTGTAATTGACTGACAATGATCTCTTAAGAACCGGAAGTTTGCTTTGAGGTGGGACTTCTATTTGATGAACTGGGGATGTCTTCCTCATTAGCCGTGGTGGCGTCAGTAGTGCCTTTGCTCTTTCAGCCTTTCTCTTAGCATAATCAGTAATTGATTCCATTCTATCAAACTGCATTTCATGTGCTTTTTTGAAATTAGGAATTTTTGATTTCAATTTCTGTGCCATTGGAAGTGATCCAGCTGAAAATGATCGTAGTCGATGTCCATCAATTGATACTTGCTGCATTGAATTTCTTAACAAATCTGCTTCCTCGTCTAAGCTTGAGATGATCTTATCGTTTTTCATGATTAAGAAGCTTGAACGACGATTGGAAATTGTATGTTGATAAAGTTGGTCGTATTCCATATGATGCTGCTCCGAAAATTGGAATTGATTTTTGAAAATATATTTAAGAATTTTTTTATGTTTCGATGTTTTAACTTCAAAAGTTGTTAACACACTGATGTCAGTTGCCTCTCATTCAAATATTAAATACGATTTATGTTGAGAAGGGGATTCCATCTCAGGTAGGAAAATGTATCTTCTCATTAAATGTTTCGATGATAAAAGCGATGACAAAATAGTTTATTGTTTCTGATACCTGACTGAAAAATTAAAGTAAACAAAAAAAAATCTTTTGGGGGAGTGTTTGTATGTGTGGGGGTAAGGATATATGTAAATTTCATTTATGATCATCAATAATTCTCATAATTTTCAACTTGCAAGCTGAAAAATCAGCTGTAACATGCTACAAGGTATTATATCTGTTGTTTTAACCTGCAGTACTGCAAGTGGCCCAATTTTTGAATAAATTTAGCCTCATAACTTTACTTCTTTGGGTTCTGATGTTTATTGATGAGGATTAAAAATATGCAAATTATTGTCCTTTCTTGCTTAAATCTCTCTTTGTGCTGGAAAGATTGTAAAATTTAGAAACAATTAAAATGAAGAGTTTAGCATTCAAAATAAAAATATTTATTGTCAGGCAGAAAAAGTTTATTGTTGTGAAATATTTATTGAAGATTTCATGATGCAAAATTAGAAATTGAAAAAAGAAACTTAGTCAAAGGATATCAAATTGAAACAGTTTTGAATTATTCAATTATTTTCGGTTGTCAATTCATCAATAAGATTGAAAAAAATCACTGAAAATTGAGAATTTTACGCTTGTCGAATAAACATTTCAATAGTTTCTAATTGAAAAGTATAAATATTTATGAATCATGATTAAATCAATAGTTTTCAACTTGGATTCCTAAAAAGAAACTGTGTGATCAAAAATGAAAATTTTAGAAATTGTTTTATTTTTCGCTGCTTTGTACATTGCTGATGAAGATCCTTGTACATGGACAGAATGTCCACCTTAATAGTAAGCATAAAATTTATGTTTTTAAATATTTCTTTAAATTTCTCCAATTTAATTTAAGGTCAACCTAGAATAACATTAAGTTAATATTCTATTTAATTTTTTATTGCATGATTATTTGGCATTGATAAATAAAGGAGATTGATGAATGTGAACTGTAACGAATTATTGTTTAATAAAATCTCTTTTTGTAACAAATTTTCTTTAAATAATATTAAAAGTATTTATGTTTTGTATTGAAAATATTAAGGTAATTTTTTAAAGTTAACAAAGCCTTACAGCATGTTGTTCACTAGTTCTTCTAAAACTTTATAAGTTTTTCACTTTGAAAATCATAATTGTGGTCAAGACAAAATTTATCAGACGATTCTTAAATCAAAATTTTTTGTAGATTATTTGTTTTCGTTCTCCCAATCGGAATTCTGCAAAAAAAAATCGTACCTAAAGTAATAAAAGTAAACTTATGTTGAAAATTGTTTCGTTTTGAGAAGAGCTCGAAGTCGACGAAATTTTTTAAGGAGTCGAGTTCACTCGACCATAGAAAATTGATAAAAATCTCTAGTCGACTTCGAGCTCTGGTTTTGAGCATTAAAGCTTCTCTGGAGAGTCGCACTAAGTTCCAGGAGAAAATATTCTTTCATATCCTGATTGAAGATTTTCTTGGATACCAATAATGTCAAACATTGGACAAGCTCGATTAAAATACTTTTAATTTATTGATGAAATAAATTAATTATTTATGGTTGTCAAAGAAATAAATTCAAAAGCTTTTGTCAATAATTAATAAATTTCTACGGCTGTCAATGGAAATGAAAATATGTTGATGCCATTAAGTGTATAAATATTCCTGATTACTGATAGAATCAATTAATAGTTTACTGGCTTAACTTGGCTGAAGTTATAATTTTAAAGTTTTTGCAAAAATTGACAATGAAAATTATAGAAGTTTCTTTATTTTTTGCTGCATTGTACATAGCTAACTTTGAACGAAGATGTAAATGGTGGACGCCGTTCTGTTAATATGGGTAAGCATAAATAAATTAATCTTTTGATACATTAGTCTTTACTTTATTGTATAGGATGATCGATGAGAAGTTTGTGACACATTCACAGAAAGGAAGGAGGTTTCAGGAAAATTGAGTCATCTAATTTCATAGTTTTTGCAAATGATTGAGATTTATTTTAAATGGAGCTAAATCTGTGGAACAACAACAAAATTAATCAAATAACATTTAATAAACCTAAAATAAAACCTGAAAAAAATCTTTAACATATTTACAATAAAAAGGGTCAAAGTTTTACATTTTTTAAATATTTATTACATAATTTTTTTTATTAATATCTCAGTTTTCCCTTTTTTCATTTTTTTATTAATTTTAAACTTCAAAGACGGAATTATTCTTTCACTTGTATTTTTTTTCATCTTGTTTATTATACACAATTATGCATAGAAAATAATGAAGATAGTATCAAATAAAGGAAAAATCAAAAGATAACTTAAAATTTTATGAATTTTAAAACCTAAAAGAAGAAATTCATAAAATCTTTATGTACAGAAAAATTAGTTTTTTTAACTTCCACGCAAAGCAGGAAAGTTATTGCATTTTTCAAGATCAATTATTTTTTCCGCTGTATTTTTTTATGAATGTGATTTTTGTGGATTTTATATCAATTTTTTTATAGTTCGAGAAGAAAGATAGTAGAGAGTTATAAAGAGGATAATTAGGTGTTTTGCATTATACAATAATTTTTATTATTTTTTTTTTCATTATGTATGCATTCATATATTTTATTAAGGGATCCTATCTAACTTGTATTTTATCAACAACTTTTTTTTTCCTTAAAAACTTTAATCGAATGAGAGTATGTTGAAGGAAAATGAGACTGGATTACGTGGGTAACTAGGATTCGAGGACAAAAATGTAGCAACATTGCAACAGAAATTATTTTTAAAAAATTTTCCATTGAATTCTTAGCTTTGTCTTTAACACTCAGGAAACAATGATGATAAAAATTTAAGGAATTGAACATTTCACATGAAATATTTTTAACTTTTTTTTCTCCTATTAGAAACTCCAATTATGTAGAAAAATATGAAATTCTTTTTGTAACAAAATTCTTAATTTTTTTTCATAATGATTTTGAGCTTGTGGTTCAGATGATGGCTGAAATTTTGTGAGTATAGCTAAACAACAAACATAAAGTATGAGTAGTGCATTGTTTCTACAGTGAAAAACATTTTATAGAAGATACAAAAGAATTTTACCATTTTTTGTAGTGATAAACAATCATATAAAATTTTGAGATCTCGAAAGCTATGTCCCTTAAAGTTTTTTGAGTTCATATCAATAGACAGTCTGACATTTTTATGCAGTAATAATTATAGACAATAATAATCATAACGAATGGATATACTAAGAGACCAGATATGCAGCTGGATAGGTAATAAACGTCTAACCTATCCCGAATGGCACAAGTCGGTTGATCGAATAGAAATCCGGTGCTCAGCTGGCATGACTCTGGCACTGACTTTGATTTAAATCCAGAACCATGTCAGACTCACACCACCTTGGTGCCGGATTTCTAATTTATTAACCTACTTGTGCCAATCGGGTGTATTCAACACATAACCAGCCTAAGCTCATTTCCTAAGCACATACAAATTTTCATACTTATGTCTAAGTAGAGTCGAAGCAGATTCAGCATAGGCAACCTGGCATGTTTATTTCAAAGCTTGAAATATCCCGAGTAGCACAAGTCGGATAATCGAGACGAAATCCTATGCCAGGACGATTTTAGCGCGAATTTCTTCGTCTTATCGAAGGATTTCGTCTAGATCATCCAACTTGTGTTATTCGGGTATTTATGTCCTGTATCTATTATTTCTTTTTGTCATGTCTTAGAATTTACCATAGAGCTTCCTTGATAAACTAATCTGGAGAAACTTATTTGGATTAATCTATAGCAGTGTTGTCTAAACTGTGTGCCGCGGTACACTAGTGTTCCGTAGGAATTTTTTGAACATGACACGATCTGCATGTTGTGTGCAATTTCGGTTATGGCATACCTCTAAGGTGTTCCGAGGCTCAAAAAGTTTGGACAACACTGATCTATAGGAATTCAATAGATCCGTATCAAAAAGTTCAGCCATCATTTCCATCCTCAAGTCAATTAAAAAGCTTATGAAAAAGCCTCAAAACGAAAAGCAATCGAACATCATTTGATTGATTAAAGTTTCCATTTTAATTTATTTTTTTGAAGACAGCAATTGTTTTATTTTTTTTTTCATTGTATAAAATTATAATGCAAATTTTTAATGTGTAGTGTGTTGAAGATTTTATCTTTTTCTTTACCTTGAAGATTGAACATATTATTGTAACTTGACGATTATATTTTTTACATTAAGTTTTATTCAGTATTTCATTCATTATTTTGGGAGCTTTTTAATTCAAAAAAACTGTAATTCATTTTCGTTTTAGCTTGCATACTTTCATCTATTACCTTCATTTAGATAAAAATTTTCTTTAATGCTGTATTATTACAAATAGATAATTTACATGTAAATTTTTTGTAGATTTTTTTTTCATCTCATTTCTCGTCTCGTTTGTGAACTTATTGATAATTGTTAATTATAATAATAATGAAAAAAGAATCATTATTGATTTGAAGAAATCATTTTATTTCACTTTTGCAGGTTTCAATCCACACTTTAAATGTGGATTGGTTTGCTTACATAAAAAATACATAAAATAAGAACTAAAGACTTGCATTAATTTGAAAATAAAGAGACAAAAAATTCATAATCCTACATAAAAATCGAGAAGATGTTTTTTTGGAGAAAATTTGTGAATTTTTTTTTTTTTTGAGGAATTTTAATGCACAACTTTTTAACAACAACTGTAAATGAACAGCAACGTTGGAGCTTGTATTTGATTCCTTCTTTTTGGGAGATCTGAAGAAGATTTTTGAAGGTGTATCCAAAGATACAAATCTACTCCCGAGTATCAGTTCTATTAGGCAAATGTTCTTTATTAACTTGAAATCCTCATACTTTGATCAAAGATCTTTAAAATTCTCAAATTTTCGTCCAAAAATAAATCTCTCGCAAAAACCATGTTTTTCTTCCTCACTAATCAACGACATTCCTAAATATTTTCATTTCTATTTTTCTTTTATTATTATTTTCATCATCCTTATATAAATCATCATTTTTTTATATCCCCCCTCTAAATTAATTATGTTTCTTACAATAAAAAAATTATCCTCAAATTAATTATTACAGAAAAAATAAAACAGAAATAAAGTTAAGAAGACAAAAAAAATTATTAAATTAATTAAAGATCACATTTTGATAGATTTTTTTTTCTTCATTCATTTTTTTTTTCTTTATACATTACACAAAATCTCCTTTAACTTCTATATTTTTTATTTTAATTATTTTATTTATTATTTTATACATTTAGCGCATGAATAGATTTCTTCATTTTCTATGAACTTCCACGTTGATGCATGGATAGTCTATCATATTTCAGTTATTCATTAAACTTTTTTCTAACCGGGGGAGTTAAAATGTCGTAAAAATATTTATCAACTTAGGGTGGGGTGAGATTGTTCTGTCCATGAGGGGGACTAGTGTGTCATAAGTGACTAGAAGTAGCTTGAAGCATACGAGTCTACTCAAACCTCTCACAAATCAGAACAATCTCTTCATCTGTTTTCTGAAAGTTCCCCCCAAACCCATCTCACATCCCCACTACGTCAACTTCTCTTAATTCAATATTTTCATTCAGTTTTTTTTTCTTCTTTAAATGTGGTTGTGTAAATTGTGTGTATTTATATGTTTTATATGTGTGTATGTGTCCTTTATTATTTTTTTCATTTTTTTTTGAATAATCTAAATTTTTTGTAGATTTTTTTTAAGCAAATTAGTCTTTCAATTGTCAAATGTGTTTCATTCATTAATTATTTTCTTTAATTATAATTTTATAATAATTATAATAATCGTTGTTACTTGTTTTCTTATATATTCATTTAAATGACATAAATCGGGAGGAGAGTTTTTATATTAAGCTTAAGCTTCAATTTCTATTAATTGCTGATAGCTGAGAGAAAAAAATACTGACTGACTGAAGCTGCTGCTGCTGCATCATTGCGGCAATATGTCAATCTACATTTAATTGGTTAATCTTCATCGCTAAGGGCATCGTACTGCTCTGACAATACTTGACGTGATTCCAAATGTTGGGCTGGTGGTGCTGATTGCTGACGATTTGCTTCCATTAATTCACTTGCAGCTTTTGGACTGATTATTGGATTCGCACCAGACGCAACTTGAGGGATGTTTAGTGCACTATATGGATACATAAACATTGCCGGTTGGAATGGCTGTTGTCCAGGCTGAGATGATGGTCGACTTATGTAAACTTGAGGTGATTCTCGCTTACCAGCTGGTGATTTTTCACCACTATCGACTCCATTTCCTGGAATACTATTGCCACTTCGTGGACGGTCATATTGTTTCATAACATCACTGTCACGGCTATCTTTTCGTTCTGCATTTCTATGATGATCATTTGGATATTTATCATCATTTCTCATTGCTTCAGCAATTCTATTATTCAGCATATTGAGTAACTTATTAGCATCACCACCTGGTGCATTATCTTGTGCAGGCATGGCCATGTTACGTTGATCATAAGCATTGATTGTAATTTTTGGCTGCATATGGTAATGAGCACTAGTCTCTGGAGGTGAAACTGGCTCATATGCCATTTTATTTCTTGGCGATGGAGTTTGAGCCATTCGAATAATATGACGATCATCAGGTGTTGTTCTACCTTGTGGGTTTACACTTTTTGCCATTTCTTCCTTTTGTTGCTGCTGTTGTTGCTGTTGTTGTTGCAATCGTCTATTCATTTTCCACTGATCTGTAGCAATTATCTGTTCCTGTCCCATTAGTTGTGGACCACTGTTTTGTAACTGTGCCATACTTTGTGTTGGCGGTGTTTTACTTGGAATCGTATTTGCATTACTGAATCCTGTCCTTACAAAATGGGGTGATAAATGATAGCCACCTGGTTGTTGCTGATGATGCATACCAAATGCTGGATCTTTGGATATAATTGCATCCGTTATGTCATTGAGTTTAAGATTCTTAGATGGTAGATTTGAGATTGATGACTGATGACGTGAAAGATCGGAAGAGGAATCAACATCGACATTAATAATATTTGGTGAGTGAGAATTTCCATTATTTTCAGCTTGTTGTAGACGACTGATTGGATTAATTTGCTGTAAATGGATAGAATTCTTTAAGATCCGAGAATCAAGCAAGTTTCTATCATAACTTACATATCGGTCGCGACTCTCCTGAGGTCTTGAAATATTCTCAGTAATAATAGCATTAATCAAATGCTGAGCACTAATCACTTCATCAGGTCCTCGACCATAGCTCAATGCTCTCGCAGCATAAGGAATTCTCAACTGTTCCATTCTATCACGTTCAAAATTTCGTTGAGCCAATTCAGCGTCGTGTCTACGCTGAGCATCTCGTTCATCACGTTCACGATCTCTTTCGCGTTCTTGAGCGATCATTTCACGTTTTTCCATTTCCTTTCTCTCCAATTCATGTCTCCTTATCATCTCAATCTGAAATGGATATTTCTAATTAGGAAGTTTCATGAACGTTCATTATTTAAGAATTTTATTGTCTCACCTGGTTCTGTTGTTGTTGAAGCATCACATTGACGTCATTTGGAATCAAATAAGGATACCGTTCACGTTGAATTGCTTGACTTTCAGATGTGATGGGTGGCATGTGTCTTCGACTCCCATCATTTGGCACTGGTAATGCTTGTTGTGCTACTGCTACATCCACCAAGTTTGAAAGTGCGTCGTGTCCTGCTAGGACAGATTGAATATGATTCTCGTTAGACATTAGAAGAATTTAGGGTTTACAGATCTTTTAGATTATCTTAAGAATAATCCGAGAAAATTCCTTGAAAAATTCAATTTACCTTGTGAGTAATGATGTGTGTAGTGTCCTTGATTAACTTGTAATCGTTGAGGAGCAGGAGATGGAGGCTTTGATCCACCAGCATTATGTCTCTGAATTATCACACCCTGTCTTTGTGGTGGTGGAGTACGATGTGGACTTGGAGTACTATAACGATACATATTGTTATTAATAAAATTATTTTAAGTATTAATTAAGGATCTTACCTATTATGATGATCAGCTGGCGATGATCGACTCAAATATTCAGTACGTGTTTGTCCACTTCCAACGCGTTCACGTTCCTTATCATAATAAATTGATGCAGGTGAATTCGGATGAGCAAGACTACGAGGCGATGGAGATTCCTTTTCAGGACGACCAGATCCACCTGGACCTCCACTTATAATGTTTATAGTATTTGGCATATTTGGTCCGCCACGCGATTGCTGATTGTGTCCTTGCATTTGCTGAGATATCATGTAGTCGCTAAAGACGAGATCACGTGTTGAGCTTAATTCACCAGGTTGACGGTAGCTTGCAATTGTTGGATTATGTAATTGTGGACTACTCGTTTGTGCTGATGAAACATTTGGTTGTTGATTTTGTGCTGGACTATGACGATTATTTCCTTTTATATATTCATGAACACGTTTGTCGCTTAAATGTATAGGCGTTCCAGCAGTTATTGAGCCAAATTTATTATCAGAATTGGGTGGCGTTTGCCTTAGAATATCGTATCGAGGACCTTGCGGTGAATTCTGTAACATTATCGGTTGACCACGGTCATTGAGTGGAGTTCCAAGAGTAATTGAACCTTTTGGTCCATTCATTTGTTGAACTTGTCCTCCACCTTGTTGCTGTTGCTGAACTTGATGATGATGAACTTTTGGACTTAATTTCTGTGTCACTTTTGACTTGTTTTGGATAATTTGTTGCTGTTGTTGCTGCATGCCATGCGGACCTAAGCTCATAACACGTTGCTGACCAGGTGATAATGAAGGTCCGATATAAGTACTCGGTGATTTCGATGGTCGATTCATATCAGGATGAAATGCTAAATAAGGCGCCTGATTTGGAATGTTTGCTGACGGATCTCCACGATAAATTGATCCACCCGTAGGTGGTGGTGGTGCCTTTGCTTGAAATGCTGGAAAATTTCTCTCTGGCGGTTGTTGTTGTTGCTGTTGTGGCTTCTTGATGCTTAAATCAAGTGTTTGTGGCTCAGGTTCAGGCTGCTGATTAATTGGTTGTTGATGTGGACGTCCATATTTCAAATCTTTTTCTTGAATAGCATTCAAATGTTGTGGTGTTGACGATGATCTTGGCGGTTGATTTCCTTGTTGAGGTGGTGGAACTGGTGTAATTGTTGCAGCTATTGATGAAATATTCAAAGGATGCTGGATATTCATTGGATTTTGAGGACCTGATAGAGGTGGTCCATGAGAATTTACAATCGAAAGTGTTGCCAAAGTTTGAAGGCCTTCAGAATTCGATCGTCTCGATTGTGGCATCTGTTTTGGATCTTGTCGATAAGAAGTCACAAATGAGACATCCGGTGACGTATCAACAGGACCAGGTGGATTTGGTTTCAATGGCGGAACTTGTGAATTTTTCACTGACCTCTCAATCACATTATGCATAACATCACGAACATTTGATGGTCCATTTTGCTGTGCAGATGGAACCATTGAGATTGTTGTTGCTGGATTTAAACTCTTACCAGCAAAGACTGATGATGTTTTCGGACTTTGACGATTTGCTGGTGATGACTCATTCTCCTCATCAGCTGTCTCAGTTGCTGAACTATCATATTCCTCTGAATGCTTCTTTGTTCGCATTATATGAATCATTGGATGATCCGGTGCGCGAGGCATAGTCGATAAATTTTGAATTTGTTGTGAACTCAACAACGGTGGTGGCTGACCTAATGGAGGTGGTAAACGATCATCTATAATTTGATGTGGTTGTTGTGCTATCGTTGTTGGAGGTTGTTGCAGTTGTTGCTGCTGAGGTGGTTCATTCTTGACAGTATTTTCTTTACTAGCAGGTATTGGCATAGCTGGAATTGATGGTATTGTTGATGGATTTTGTGGTTCATTCTTTACAATAGCATTCGTACTGTTATTCTCAATTTTCTCACTTTCAGTTACAGTAAAGTCATTCTTGTGTGTGTCAGATCCATTGTCATCAGATGATGTGACACTAATATCTGATTCATCACCGTCCGTAATTGCACGACGATCTTCATTCACATGCAATTTATAATATTCATTCACAGCCTGATCGAAGCCATACTTTTTCTTATAGTGAAAATAGAATGTCTTAAGCACCGTAGCTGATTTATTGAGTTGTTCTGCTAACTGATTCCACTTCGGACCCATGTCTTGCAATTGTTTACGAAACTGTTGAATCTCATCATCAGTGAGTGACGTTGTGCCCAACAATTGAGTACCCATTTTACGCTTTATACGCGTCAGACATACTGAACAACATTTTGTCACCTTTGGTGGTATTTGAAGCTCTTTAATGATTGGATCACGCTCTTCTGGCGATAGTTCTGATAGCCTTGCAGGAAGATTTCGAAGACGTGTGACACGATCTTTTGGATTTGGACAGGTCGGCAGTGGACATGATGTAATTGGAAATCTAAATGAAATGTTTTTGTGAATTAAAATTATTCGAATTTTAAAAAGATTTTTGGCTCATACCTTGATTTTACAACTTTACTCTGACAATTACTGCAAATTCGTGCACCTGCTGGAATGTTATCCTCAGTAAGTCCATATTGTTGAGCTTTTGACTTCTCAAGTTGCCGCGTTCGACTGCAATTCTCCTGCTTGCAAACGAAGCATGGATAAAGCAATTTATCTGTAGTATAAGGAACAAAAATAAGTAAATTAAATCAAATTAATCCTTTGGTGTTGTAAAATCGATGTAACTTTTTGAAATAATTGAATTTATGATGAAATCAATCAAATTGATATGGCAAATAAAAGAAGCCAATAAATCCAAACGCGAACAACAACAGGCTGATAAAAGTTTAATATCATTGAATGTAGAGAGCGAAAAAATTCGCTGCAACGAATGTTTACATTTAATTCCATTTATTGAATTACAAATTTCGAAGAATGAACCAAAAATTTTAAAATAAAATATCTTCGCAATGGATTTATATCTGTTTTGGGATGGAGAGTTATTACAAAAATTTAGTTGAAGAACCGTCGAATTAAGCAAATAATAGATGGAAAGAAAAAAAAAATCAAATTTTTAATAAAGAAAATTGAATGATTTTCCTCAAGGTTATTTTTCACATCGTGGAAATCGAAAATATATTTTAATGCGTCCATTTGAAATGAAATATTGAAGTATTTGAATTTTGTTTGAAGGATTGTTGAGGATGTTGAATTTTTAAAGGCTTTAATCAAATATTCTAATTGATTGAAAATCCTTTGAATTTCAAATGAAAATTCAATTTTAAAAAACTATTGAAAATCTTCACAAAAATCTCAAAATTCAATCCACAACTAATGCAGTAGCTAGTCATAAAAATCATTTCAAATTCCTTAAGAGATTCAACAATTCTTAACAGGCAAATTTCTTATCTAAGAATATTGAAATAAGATATCAAAGTCTACCCAACCACAATCTAAATTCTTCAATCTGCAGCCATCATCATCAGCAACAGCACCTCATTCCTTCATGCACATTAAATAAATGATTTCATTTGCTCAAATATTTGATCAAAAACAATTTTTTTAAATAATTTTTTTTTCATATATTTACAAATCATTAAAATTCGTTTTATGCAGTTTTGAGGGAGATGGAATAAAAAAAGTTGAAACTTTTGCTTGTGTGACAAGATTTTTTTTATAGCTCGTCTCCTTTTTTATGCATCACAGAATCTTGTTTGATATTCAATTAAGTACATGAGGACGAAGGCAGCTCATGAACTAGGGAATTAAAACTGCAAATTGTGTCCACAAAAATTTACCGCTGAATGCAGAAAATATTCAGCTATTGACACGAGCTCAAGTGAGTGGAAGTAATTGTCAAACCAAACTTTAGTCAATCTAGAGCGACCGCAAAGCAATCAATCCCAATCTATCCACGACTTTTTGTGTAAATAAATAAATAAAATAAAATCGAACATTTTCGTAATGAATGTATTAAAATATAAAAAGGGGTAGTTACACATATATACAGACACAGATTTTCCTCAATGTATATTTTCACTATTTGCTTATGTGTTTATTTTTATTATTTTACAAGAGCTGAACGATGAAATGCGGTAGATAAAAATTTTTATTCTCTCTTCATTCCGCTTTTCTGGCAGTTTTTGCCTTTTTCAGTAAGAAGTATGGTAAGTTTATTGCTGGTTTAAGCAGGAGCGCAGTTAATTGGATCAGTGGTGTAGTTAAAAAGAATTGCAATTAAGGCTTTGGTCTTGGATAAATGATAAGGATGGAGCAGGCAACATTTGGTCTTACTTTAGGTTCAAAAACACTAAGCATTTCAATAATTGAAAAGAAATTAAACTTCTTTAAGCTGTTATCTAATAAGTTTTTCATGTCCATTGAGCCTTCCTATGAATAACTGAATCAGGAAATTTAAGAAACCAGATATAGCAACGTTGAGAAACCACAAGAATCATAGACAAGTCAATGATGTTCATAAATATCGAACGCATACCCGAGAAAATTTTGTAACTCCCAACTGGCTCCCAACTATCAAACGCACTTAAGCAATCAGGATTTTTACGTTAGAGCATTTAATTTATTTAATTCTCTACCTCCAATTGGTTAAGAATATATTCTCATTAAATATATTTAAAACTAGAATAAAGGAGCATTTTTACGAATCTTATTGTGAAATTAATAAAATGTAATGTGATATAGCTAGTCATAAGAATTTATATTTTGTATCTCAATTGTAAAATTATATACAAATAAATCAAACAAATCAAAAAACAAAATCCCAAAATGACCGATAAACCAACTCAACATAACCAAAATCCAACTCAATAATTTTTTTATTGCTTTGATCAACGATTTACGATACAGTCGAGAAAGAAAAAAAAAGAACAGAACGAACAAAAAACTTTTCTTATTTACATTTACTTTCTGAGAGAGTTTTTCATGTTATTTGCCTGCTAATTAGTAAAAAATCAACATTCATTCTCGTTCATGGTTTTATGGCAGGGAAAGTTACTCAATTCAATTAATATGGAAATTGATTTTTTTTATCAATCGAAAAGCAAGCAATTTGTGGAAGTGATTGAAGGTGTCAACATATGTTCCAATGATGATGAACATGAAAAATTCTTATTAATTAAAATTATGGAAAATGCGTGGAAGTTTGCTCTTCTCTCGCTCTGTGATGTCATGAATGAATTATTAACTAATTTAATTTTATAAATTGCATTGCTTTTTCATATTTAAATATTCATGAATGGATACACCAACTGGCAGAAAATAAACTTTGTGATGGGAGAAAAATGATGGAAATAAAAAAGAAGTAAAGAATTTTACACAAATGAATTCATAAAATTTATGCACAAAGTAACCCTGAAAAGGCACTTCGAGGGAGTTGCTTCCTTGTTACTTTTTTTTTGTTTAACTTCTTTTGTGGTTATTTGTAATAATTTTAGGATTTAACTTTAAGATAAATTGCAAAAAAAATTGTTAAGTTTCACCGAGAATTTAAGCAACTTCCTAAACAACCCCCCCAGTTTCAATCCCTGAATAAAATTATTATCATTTAAATTAAAAACGGAAGAACAAATTTTCCAAGAAGATTTCTTCGTCCTTTTCTCTATTTGTCCACACAATTTCTTTTCATCACCATTTTTAACATTCAAAACCGCACACAAAAAAGAGATTTTTCATTCATCTGTTTCAGCTTTTGCCTCTTCTTTATGCTACTTGTTAACCACTTAAGTGGGTTTGTGCAAGCACGAAAGAAATAATTTTTGTACATTAAATTTTTAAGAAGGTTATTTTTAGCGCATTTTTGAAACTTGTTTCAAAAAGGTAGCTTAATAACGCACTTTGTTCGGCTGGCTGGCTGGCTGGTCGGCTGCTAAGAAAAACTTTTAATCTAGACATCGTAGAGAGTTCTAGTTTTTTGCATTAGTTCCGTTATATCGAGTTATTGGCCCGCCGGACATTTAAAAATCTTAAAACAGTGTATTTATGCTATAATTAATGAATTTTTGTTTTGTTTTCAGTGTAACCTGCTCAAATTTTATTTTACCTCTATAATTTCAATATTACCTCTATAATTTCAAAAAATTTCTAGCCGTTGTAAAATTTGAATTTCAAAAAACCGTTAAATGATAAACTTTTTTTGTATGGAAATTCATTGGAACAAATTATTTAATTATACTATAATTAATTTTTTCGTAGTGCAACTTATAGCGGGAAAATTTCAAACTATTTATTGACCGTTAGAAAATTTGAATTACAAAAAAATGTTAAATGATAAACCCTTTCTGTATGAAAATTCATTGCAACAAATTATTTAATTATACTATAATTAATTTTTTCGTAGTGCAACTTATAGCGGGAAAATTTCAAATTATTATTATATTGACCGTTAGAAAATTTGAATTACAAGAAACCGTTAAATGATAAACTCTTTCTGTATGGAAATTCATTGCAACAAATTATCTAATTATACTACAATTAATGTTTTTTTAGTGCAACTTTTAACGGCAAAATTTCAAATTATTTATTGACCGTTAAATAATAATCCTTTCTATATAAGCATTCATTGTAACTTTTTGTTAATTACACTAAAATTAATGATCTTCTAATCTTCTCATGATCTGTAAATGAACGCAAAATAATTACATAATCAAATACTGATCGCTAACACAAAAATGCGCTTAAGTCCCTCGATCAATAACACGAGGACTTCTGTAATTTTTTTATGATTTATGCTGAACTTTCTTTAATATGTTTTTAAACCTTTTTAGTTTTTTCAAAAGTTTGATTTTTAATTTTTTTGAATTTTTAAATCTCTTTTTATTTAAATTTTCAAACTTTCAAATTTATTTTTTTTTGATTTTCAAATTTCATTTTTTTTGATTTTCAAATTTCATTTTTTTTAATTTAAAATTTCATTTTTAAAATTTTCAAATTATTTCAAAAAAGTTCATGATTTCAAATGAAATTTTCTAAAAGTTATTAATGTTCGAAAATTCAATTCCTTCTCACATCTTCTCTCTCGTTCTTGAGCTAATTTACTAATGAGCATATTTTTTTTACAATCCCAAGAGTTAGCTACAACAGAACAAGGCATAAATATTATGAATTATTTGCAGGAAAGTAAACAAAACTTTACTTCAAAGAGAATTTTAAAACGTCATCAGTGCAATTGAAAAATAAGGTAAAGAGTGTGGGTGGGATGAGTGGGAGTAGATAGCAATAATAGGAATTTCAATAAAATTTTTTAATATCCATCAGAGAATTGATTGTAAATCCTCAAATGATTTTTTATAAAGTAGAACAAAATCGAGTCAATTGGAAGGAAACATTCAAGACTGAAAATGAAATTTTTGTGGATTTCAAATAATTTTTTCAAAAATTCAACTCAACCGAACCTCATACCCAAAAGAATAATTTCCACTCAGTTCCAATTAACCCGAACAACAAAAGCTCAAGTGTTTTTGGTTTTTTAAAAAAATATTCTGTAGATGCTGCAGGCATTTTTCGTTCATTAATTATTCGTTGTTATCGTGAAGAACATCCTTTAATGTGTATGAACATATGCAGCAATTTTCTCTCTCTTTTCTCCTCGATGGCGATTTAATTAAGTTAATAAAAACGTAAACTTTGCCTGATGCTCTTTCAAAAAATTAAAAAAAAAATCTTTTTTCGGTTGCCGTTCTGCATACATTGGAGAGATCATTAATTATTTACAAATAAAATTTTTCATATTTCTCGTCATGTCCTTTTATATTCCCATTCATACAGGAATCATCATCTTTAGAGCAATGACTACGGACAACCTGATGAGGAATGGCATATGAAAACAAAAAGAGGGGTCGGTCAAGCTGTACAAATGTCTATAGACACACATACAAAACCGGTCAAGTTTAACGACCAAAAAAAAACTATTTTTCAATGTTCGAATGAAACTAGTTTTTTGTGGAATATAAAAGAAAAAGGGGTAGATGGACAGTTCGACCTTTTCATTGACACTTGACCTCAAGTTCACATCGTAAGAAATTCTTATGGACTTTCTCACCGGACAGTCATACAGTCACAAAGATCACCAACGGTTCTTTAATGTCTGTAACATTTTTTTTTGCTGAGCTTGTTTGTTTGCGGAAAGGAAACATTTTGTGCAGTTATGTCCAAAAAAAACTAGCATGAAATTAATCAAGCAATTAAGTAAAATTCCTATGGGACTTAATTATCGTTTAATGAACGTAAAAAATATTGTTCATCATTTTCTATAAAATTATGAAATAAAGACAAAAATTCCACCCATCTCCACCCATTTTTTCATCCCTTCAACCCCATCGTGACACAAGAATGAAAAAATTGTTTTTACTGTGGGAATAAAAATTTCATTAAATAAATTTATTATTTTGATAACAATCGCAAAAATTGTTTCGGGATGGCATATTTTATTGATAGCACATAGCTTCAAAGGGATTCTCTGTTATTTTTCATTTTAATTAATGTTCATCAATTTTATAAATGAAATATTAATATTTTAATAATCACATTTTTTATCGCTCATAATTGTATATTTGGTTATTATATTTTTTTGGTAACTAATTTAATTAATGAAGTAATTGAGGAATGATATTAATTACTATTTCGAATTTTCATGTAGGCAATAAATTCTTTTTTTTTTGTATTATTGAAAAATGGACTTTTAAGCACTTTTTGGATTAAATGTCAATTGTTGAACTTGTGATTCAATCAAGCAAAGGTCAAAGATTTGAGTTTGAATAGCAAATGATGAATAAATTCTGATTTATCATCAAATTTTGTTTCATTTTCATCTTTACTTTGTAAAGTCAACAATTTTCAAAAGAAGTAAGCAGATTTTGAGGATAATAGCTAACAATGTTGCTAATTATTCAATCAGAAAAATCTTAAAAATTCCCACAATTGCGATAATTATTAAAAAATAAACCTGACGAAGAAATCCTGATGAAAATTATTATTGCTGATGAAATCAAACGAGCAGCGATGATGAAAAATTAAATTCATCAATTATATTGATTAGCAAATAAATGAAATTTTCTATATCATCAATCGAATGTTGCTAATGGCAAAATTGAAAAATATCTCCAAATGATTTTCATTTCTTCCACCTACCCCGCTTCAACATTTCGTCATACAAGCATGTACACATAGACAATAAAAATTTTAGTGAAAATGAAATCAACAAATGTGAAACTTTGCAATTAAAATTTTTAGAAAATTGTTCTCGCGGGAGTAGAAATGGCACGATAAATTTTTTGAGAGGAAGGCACAAAATTAAAATGATGAAAAAAGCTCCGAGAAATCAAATTTTCATAAATTTCAATTCAGAAAAGGGAAAAATTTTCTCTCTATTTGCAATTAATTAAATTAAATTAATTAGATGAAATGTACACAGAATTTTTTAAACGCGATTGAAAAGAAATTTTTAATGAGGATGTGCTCCCGTTGAGAAAGAGCTGAGCAAGAAATTTTTTAAATGCCCAAAAAGAATAGACAATAATTAGCTTTACACATAGTTCTCACCAGTGTGTTGTTGTGTGACGTGATAAAAAAAAAATATTCAAGAAACTGGAAATTCAAGAAATGATTTTCCCCTCATTCATCCTTACTGTCCATTCATAATGACCATTACATAGCAAATGTTAATAATCCGTTTAGTTTCTTCAATCATTAAAGGAATTTTTAATTCGTGCTGCATTTTCAAGGGATGTGGTGTGCATATTGGTCAGTTTGGGCTGCTGACTGTCAAGATTGTTCCTGCCTTTTGCAAGATTTAAATGGTATTAATGATCCAATTTATCAAAAAATTCATCAAACTAACCCCAATTAAAATTCAAAATTTTTCCCCTAACCCTTCCATAATGTCCATCCCTAAACTGCGTTTAAATCCTTAACATCCAAAATATTCTATAATTTTTTGTGTGTGAAACACAAAAGGAATCAAAAAGCGCATGAGCATAAAAATAATTTTTCACATTTTTCCATTCCTGAATTGAAATTTCAATCGCAATTTATTCGTCAGCGCTGTCGGACGTGCATCTTCTTAGTCGATAGAAAAAAATAATTGAGAAATTCGTTAGACTTAAACGAGTGGAAATGTTCACAAATTGGTTGACTTCAGATATTTCGAGTAAGTCAAGGAATGAAACAAATACATCAGCACCAGATTGTGTAATTGAGGTTGGACCACCACCATTTGCTCGATTTCCAGCACATTCAGCGATTTTATCAACACAAAGTGGATATTTTCGTGCTGCAGTTTTAAGGATTAGTGAAAATGGAAAGCAGTCAGAAAACTCAATTTTTCTACCAAACATAAGTGTTGAGCATTTTACGCCGCTCTTGACATACATGTACACGGGATATTTAGAATTAAATTTCGAAAATATTTTTGGAGTATTGCTTGCAACGCACTTACTTCATATGCCAAGAGCACTTGAGATTTGTCGGGAATTTTTATCTCAAAATCAGCAACGACAACAAAATGATTTTTTCGGACAAAAAAACTCAAAACTTGTTCGACCAATTGCAAGTAAGCCTCCATCAAATTTTGGATTGAATTTTGTGTCACCGCCAAAAGCTCAAAGCAATTTCTCGTTAACAAGTCATGGAACTAATTTTAAAAGTCTTTCAATCGAACCGGAAATACAAAAACCAGTAAGAAAACTCCCAGATGAGGAAAAGGTGGCAAAAAAGATTTTTAAGCCATCAATTCCTAGTCCAGTTCCACAAACATCGACAATTAAGAATGAAAATAGTGATAATAAAGTTGTGATTGATATTGCAAGTTGTGATGGACCAGTGAGATTTCGTCGTGTATTAAATGAAGCTTATGAGCATAATAAACATCCAAATACAAGTTCAACAAACATATCGACTGAAAATGACCAAAGTGATTTAAAGTATCAAACGAATGTGTCGTCATTCCATCAACAAATGGTTAGGAATATTAATGAACAGTACAATAAACAAAAGGCAGTCAACAGTGGCGAGGAATCTGAAAATTCTCAGCATTCAATTGAGATCTATACATGTATTTACTGCAATCATACATTCAAGTCGAAATATTGTTATCAGAAGCATGCAAAGCGTCACATAAATCCGTTAAATCCACTTGGAAGATGTAGACCAGATGACTGTGAATCTAGTGACGGCGAGGCAGCAAAACAACAGCAAGTTTGTGTTAAACGAGACACAATTAAGCCATTGGATATGAATGTGCAGTATTATCCGTGCAAAATTTGTGGATGTAAATTTCCAAGCTACTATTTCGTACACAAACATCGTAAAATGTGCCATCCTGAAGTTGAAGCTGATGGAAATGGAAATTTGATACAAAATGCAAGCTCATCTTTATCAAATTCATCGTCGCAGAATCAACAAAATGATAATCAGATAAATGGAGAGGAATGTTCGAACAAAGAGATCGTCGGGAGGGAGTTGGCAGATAATTCATAAGATTGATGTTATTTAAAAGTTTTGTGAATAAAGTAATGAACATGATTTAAATTCTTTTTTTTTTTTGTTGAAAATATGAATTTGTTTCTGTTCATTTTGAAATTTAATTACAATTTTTAGGATATTTTGGATTGATTCAGGAAGAGTCAATAATATTTAAATTGCAGCACAAAAGGATTTCATTGAAATGACTTCAACTTTTACTCGCTAAGAAAATTTCAAACCAAAAATTCATCCAAACGGTTTTTAAAAATTCAAATCTTCAGAACCTTACATTTTCAAATTTCAAAAATACGTTACATCGATAGCGTGTATTAGATTTGCAAAAATAAGTATTTTCACACTCACCCAAATCATTTGCTCCACTTTCTTCGATTTTAGGCTTCTTGGCACTGCTGAATAAAGAAAAAGAACAATACAATTAATTATTGATTCACAATGAGATGTAAAGAAGATTACAATGTAATAAGAGATAAATTATATCGAATGCCTTACCTTGGTTCACAACTATTCCAATTCTCATCATCGACTTCCATTGATATCGTTTTCTTGCCCTTTCCTGTATTTAACAAAAATGAAAGAATTGAAATTTAAGGTTGGGTGCTTTTAAACAGCAATTTTAGCTCAATAATTTACCATCGTCATTCTCTTTATCATCATTCGGTTCCTTCTTAATTTCAATTTTCTTCTCCTCTTTCACATTAGTCTCTTCTTTCTTAACAATATCATCAACAGCCTTTCCTTCTGTCTTAATTTCTTCAGCTTTAATAACTTCATGTTTCAGACCATTCGGTGGATACGATGACCAGTTATTACTATCTGATTCAGTCTTCATCACAACGTCACCGTCAGGTTCAGTTTTAATTTTTGCAGGAAGGAATGATGATGATGTTGATGTTGTTGTGTTTGTCGTACTTGTCGTGGTACTACTTGATGTCTCAATAGCTTGTTGTTGCTGTGACTGTAAATTACCATTACTACTTGCACGCCTCGTCGTACTTTTATTTAAATTTGATACAGGCGATGGTGATGCAGTCTCTGACATTGAACGTATGCATAGCGGATCAATTTCCTCCTTAACATTCTCTTGACTCTGTGTACTACTACTATTTACAGTTACTGTAACTGTCGGTAATGGTGCAGACGATGAGGTTGCTGCCGATGATCTCGTCGATGCTGCATTACTATTTGTTGTTTGACTCTCAGCCGCTGAAGCTGTTGCAGATGTTGCATTAGATGATCGACTAGTATTACGTGATTTACGTTGAAGTCGTGTCGTGACACCAGTTGTCATGAGGTCTAGAAGCGATTGACTTTCACTCGTTTTCGGAAGGTTCTTCGTACTTCGTGTTCGCTTACTAGACTTTCGTAAAAGTTGCTTATACTTTATATCCTTTTTACTGAGGTAATAATAACGAACACAGTCCTACAAAATAATAAATAAATTGGCTTAGTAATCAGCATGGACTGGTGTTTGTAGTATCTCTTACCTGTGCATTTTTCCTCTCCAAATTGCTCGCAATAAAGCCAAAGTTCTTGGCCTGCTGAACATATTTGTCTCGGAAAATTTCCTTCTCACCACTTGTCCAGAGATTCAGAGTTTTATATGCACTAAGCTCTGCTTCCATGTCAACTTGTGAGCCATTCTCATTTTGGAAGACCAGACGTCGTTGACGACTATCAAACATTAATGGTGGTATAACAGCGTATGAACGCATTTTCTTATCCTCTTGTGCCTGAAAATGTAACTGAGAAAGTTAGAGGATATCCTATAAAGACAACAAATTGCTAAATTCTCACCTGTTCCTGAAGGCCATCAACAATCACCTCAAAGTCAGCTTCTGACTTTACACGAGATCCAACACGATTAAATCGCTCTTTGTCCTCACGCTGCTTCCTTAGCTCAACAAACACTTTCTCAAATAGCTCACGATTCTTTAATTCTCGATTCTTGCGTTTCATACTCGACTCAATTTTCTCAACACGCTTCTGCCAATCGGCCGATAGCTTAGCATATTGATCGGATAATTCCTGACTGCGCTGTGCGCGCTCAGACTTAATTTTCCTTAAATGCAACAACAGACTCGATCGAAATGTCAAATATTGTTCATGAATTTTTCGACATACGTCTGCATCTGATGGTTGATTGTATAATGGCAGTTCAAATGTTTGACCCTTGAAATTAAATGCAGTGAGGATGGCATGACTGTCACTTGCCTTCTTTTTATTCTCAGCATAAATTTGTTGTGCAAGGGTCCGATGTGGTGTTGGTTGCTCTGGAACATCCTCAACACCTTCTTCCTTCTGTTCAATCAACATTCTCTCTTTCTCTTTTAAGAGCTTCTTTCGCTCCTCTAATGACATCATACTTGAGTCTACACTACTAATTTGTTGAAGTAAATCATCTTTCGATAACTTTGGTGATCCAGCCGGTGATATGGCTTCCGTTTTTGGATGATAACCACCTCCTCCAAGATTATTATTATTATTGTTATTATTATTATTATTATTATTGTTATTATTGTTGCTGTTACTATTTGCATTCGGAGGCTGAGGATCACGAGTATCAATTTTTAGCACAGATAAGACTTTTGTATTTGTATTTGATGGAGGTTGCTGTTGCTGCTGTTGATTTTGAGTCTGCTGTTGTTGAGGCTGGGTTTGTGGTGCTTGAGGTGATGCAGCAGTTGGAATTTGATGCGTAGGCGGTTGAGATGGTGGTTTTTGTGGCTGATATTGGATATCAGCTGTCGCACCAACATTTGGATTTTGATGTGATCTCGGTGTCGATGCAACATGTACAACAACATGACTATTAGATGATTGAATTGGCGGTCCAGCTTTCTCATAATTCGTATGATGTAATCGAACAGGTATTGAACTTGGTGTTGCGGCTGGATGATGGAGACTATTCGTTTGTGGCTGATAAGGCGATTCGCCGAGTCTAAGTTTCTTATGAGCGGGCTGTGATGAAGGTGCTTGCTGCTGTTGTGGTTGCAGATTTTGCTGTCCTCCCGGATCTGGTGGTTGAGGTCTCTGGTTAGGTTGTGACGCTTGAAGGTGTGCCGCTGCACCATCACGTAAATTTGCATTAATATAATCATTAACATTAAGTGGTCGTGATGAATTCGACACACTTTGTGATTGTGATATCGGTACTGGTTGCTGATTTTGAGGCTGTTGGGGTATTGAAACGCGAGGTGGAAAGCCTCCATGCTGTTGAAAGTTAGCACTGACGAAATTTGTCGGTACCGAACCCATTGTTGGCTGATGGAGTGTCGTTCTCGTTGCATACTCGAATTGCGCGTTTGGAGGTTGCTAAAAGTTAAATAAATTAAGTCAGTCAGTGTCTCTAGCTATATCTCGGTCTAAATTCACTTACCCAATTATAATTTGTTTTGCCAGAACTAGCAGAAGCACCAGGAAATGTATTTGTTGCGCCTCGCACTCGATTTCTCTGATCAACATTAACATATGAGTGCGGGATCGTGTGTTGTATTTGATATGCTGAATTTGAGGCAGATGATCTATAAATAGAAATAAATATTGTATTAGCATAAAGAGTTCAAAGAAGTAATTTTTATGAATGATGTACATTAGTTCATTGATATAAGATTGAGAATAGCCATTATCCCGGAAATAATTTGAAACCAGCTAGAGAACAGACTCAATAATGATTTTGAATAATTATTCACAGTATGCGACTTTATTGGCATGTTTATAAACAAGATTGATGTATAGCTCATGCTATATCCATCTGTGAAATCTACATGAATCAGCTTCTTCATATTTGTTTGTGTAATTCTATACAATAGAAGATTCATACAGTATGACATACATACTTGCGAAATACTTTCTAGCATTGTTCATCAATAAAATATTTAATATGGAATTTTAGTTGCTGCAATTTTAAGTTCAAATTTCTGCTCGTCAGGTTTTTGTTAAATTTTATAAAGCTTCATAAAAACTCACAAGCAGTCCAGAGTATTCTCAATCAATCTCATGACTCGTTTAAAGTCCAATTGAGAATCTCGACAAGAATCTCTTCAAAAAAGTCCTCACAACACACCCATCACATCCAACAGACTCAATATTAAATTTTACTAATTTATTCATCAGATGAACAATCAAAAGGCAAATGATTTTATTATTTATAAAATATCACATTCAACCCTAAAGATAATTTTAACGAGAACAAAAAACTTTTCTTGTCCTTCAAATTTTTTTTACGACATGAAAAGATGTAAAGATAGCAAAAAAAAAGAATATAAGTGAAAACTGGCAACATCGCATTTCCTCATAGTTGAAATTTGTATTCAAAATGTCTACTCAGAATTTTTTATGTACTCTTTCCCTCAACGATGCCTTCAAGCTGTACACAATAAAAAATAAAAAAAAAAACTAGTGTATCGGGTAGAAACCCAATGCGGATATATTCACATCGTACCATCAAAAGTCTTACGGATAGACCAAGATTTGCTTAGCATAAGTTTGAAGGTATTAAGCTGGCGAGTCAGTTGAGATTCGCTCAGAATAAGTTTGAAGGTATTAAGCTAGCGAGTCAGTTGAGCTTCGCTCAGAATAAGTTTGAAGGTATTGAGCTAGCGAGTCAGTTGAGCTTCGCTCAGCATAAGTTTGAATGTAAAAAATATCACAGTGAACTTTTGTTTTGAAAAATTCGTAAGAAAGGAAAGTTTTTTGCTATTTCTGAAGCAACGGCTGTTCCTACATTGCCCAAAAATAATACAGCTCTTCTATAGAGCAGCACGGATCAAATGTAAAAAACTAGAAGTCTCTACAATGTCTCGTTATTGAGATTTCTTGTTGATTAACTTGCTTGCTTGCAGAAAGCGTATTTTGCGATTTTATCAGCAATGCCCCAACCAATTTGAAATCTGTTTTTTGAAAATGATGTAAAATTTCAGGCACAAACTTTTCATTTCTGAACATTTTAAGCTATCTTGCTCCTTATCCTCGAAAAAATTCAAAAAACTGATTTTTCAATCTGAACAAAACAAATTGATTCACATGTGAAAACGGTGTGAATATAAAACAAAAACTTTTTTTGAATGATTGAGGAAAAAAGGCTAAGGCAGGAAAAAACAGCAGAGAAAAAAAAAGTTTATGACTCACGTTATCATTAAATGTGACATTATCGTACGAAAAACTTTTTTTTGACTTTTCCCAGCCGTACATAGCAAATGTAGTGGATTGTCGTGTATTTAAAATTTTAGAGCATGCTTTTGTGGCAGACGGGAGGCACTGAGGGTGGTGGAGTTTTAAATTTTTAAAGACTTTTTTCATGGAAATTGAAACAATCTTGTTTTTGTGACAATTGGACATGAGGATGTTGAGAACAATTGAATGATCATTTTTGCAGGTGTTCAATCTGGATTGCATGTTTTTCAGGTACATAATACATGACAATCGGAAGATGAATCTATTCATTCTTTTCTAAAACTAAAAATGGATTGTACATGACAGATATTCTGTGCCTAGATAAATATCAAAATGAGGACATGAGCTAGTTCCTCATAAATTTATTACCACAATCGTAGAGCAATAGAATTTATGGATATTTTGATTAAGACACAAAAATACATGGACAGCTCCTACTTTTTCTTATGTCTAGCAATACATTAGTTCCATATCCTTTTGCCGTACGCATAATCACATTCCACATCCACTTGTCCATAATGTAAATGCAAGGAAAACCCATAATGAAGATAAATTATCAACTATTTTTAACGTCTATCCAAATATTTACTCGCACGACGATTTCGCCTTCAAATAATCCTTAATTTTGACAAATCGAATTTCCGTTGTGTCATCCAAAATTTCCATTGTGATTCATTAAGCCTCTTTTATATGCCTTTTTATAGTTTCCCACTTGTACATGTAAAAGGCAAGATATCATACATAAAAATACATGAGGCATGATGAAGCCCCAACTTAAGCTCATTATAGGATTGCAGAAAGGAAAAAAAAGAAGACGAAACATGCCCGGGAAAAAGGAAAAAAAGGAAGGAAATAGAATGAAAAGTTTTTAGAGCATTTTGGGATGGAAAAAAGTGCTCTTGAGTTTGTTCTGGCAGCAATATGAGGATGAAGAATGTTTGAGAACTATTCTGGGTTATGTAAGTGCTGGAAAATTACGTATTTTAAGTGCTGGAATCTCGAGAGAACGAGCTATGACATTTACATTAAGCAAAAAAGCGGAAAAACATGGTTGTGAAGGACCAATGTGCCATAATTATCCTCATCTGCAAACTTTTAACATCCTTTTTACCATTTCATCCTTAATCCCTCATCCGTACGTAATTTAACGAGAACAGCAGAAGAAACAAAAAATCGATACAAATCATAAATTTGCACAGAGCGAGACGAAATTGTGTTTCGGTAGTCACGGTGCTATCTCTCTATGACTACGCATTAACAATAGCAATAATAATAATCGCCCACGTACCAAAAATAAATCCATTACATTCATTCACTGCGTAGCCATGAAAGTTGAGAGAAAAAGAAGAATAAGTAACAAAAAGAGGCACCGGAATGGAAATAAATTCACGACATTTTTTTTGTGAACGAGCAAGAAAAAAAAATCGATAAAAAGCGACAGAAGAGGATTCCTTTTTATTTCATTTCATGCCATCTCCTTTATGTATTTAAATGGAATCCCAAAAAAAGCAGCAGCAAAATACGTAGCTTGAGCATTAAAAAACATTTCTCATGTATTGTAGAATAATAAAAGCGAAGCTGTCGAGATTCTAAGGGTGTGTGTGGGCGGTGGATGAAGGCTCTGGGGAGGATGTTTGAGAGGAATGAAAAAAAAAAAAACATTTTCATCATCAGCAGTAGCTGGCTGTGTGCACAGACACATACAACAGTGAAGGTTTCTGCCCCAATCTGAAAAATATAAAATGAAAAACATTTTCATCTCAACCCCCCAATTTACCGCCCGTCGTCATACAATGTGAGCATGTACATGCCGAGAGAGGAATGATGACATAAAAGTATGTATAATACCCTTGATACCATGACATGGGACAACCTCATACTCTCTACTTCTTCTACGTTATATATAAAGCATTGTGATGGGTTCAAACTTTATTCTTGGAATTTCATCCGCATGCTATGTACAGTCAATGTTGTATTAAATATTTTTTTTATGGAAACGTTGGCAACATCATCCAATTTTCTGTGTTTATGGCACATTCTCTTTCTCTCTCTCTCTTGCTTCTCGTGTACATATTTTTCTCAAACCACCTCCATCCATTCCATAACCTCCCCCATTCTACTGCTTTTATTTTATTTTATACATATTTTCCTCATCTCCGCTTCTGCTTGTTTGTTTGTCGCAAGCAGACTTTAGTGTAGCTTTAAAAAAAACCATATCAATTTTTAGTGCAATTTTCTTTTTTTGTCTTTAATTCTGCTTCCTCTTTCTGCTGTCTCTCCTGTCTCGATTATTTTTTTTTATGTTTCTGTTCTTTTTTGTTGGCCTATGTCAGCTTATTGAAATTTGATGACTATGAAAATTGATTTTCTTTGCTTTGTGTATGAAATCTACATGTGAATGGACTTTAAAGAGGATGCCTAGTTTAATGGAAATAACTTCTTTTTGAAAGAGATTATGTGAAATGGAGTGAATAAATTATTCTTAGAGTTTGGAAGCTCTAAATTTGTGTTGAAAATGTGAGTGAGGATTTTGATAAGAGGGCTTAACCAAATAGCACAAGTCGGTTAATCGAATAGACTCCATACAAAATTTCAACGACTTCGAGCTCTGGATATGAGTCAACCTTCATTCCAGAGCCACACTGGATTTCAATTTGATTAACCGACTTGTGCTTTTCGGGTTAGAGGGAAAATGACATGAGGGTGATGTTTTGGGTTTTTTTATGACAAAATATAGATTTGTGAAATTTCGAACTGTTTCCAAACCTACAACAAGTTATAACCTTCACCAAAAATTCCTCTCAAAATATTCAGAAGCTTAATTTTTTCTAATGGAAATTTTTTAAAAATTCTAGCAGATTCTAGATGAAATCTCTTTTAATGGAAATGCCGTTGATATCGATTTAATTTTTCTTCTCGTTCAACATTCTTGCATGTTATTAAGCATGACTTTGAGATACTGAAATATTTTTACCACGAATTTGCCTCATTAAAAATATTTATTTTTCAAAAATAACTTGTACCGTTCAAATCCGCTATCAAAAAGATTTGTTGATGAAATTGAATCAATGCTTGAGTTCAAGCTACTTGAAGCGATTTTAATGGAAATTTTTGAGATTTTCTTTCTTCGAGACTAGATAGATGAATTAAATTCAATGCTAAATATACCTGCGTCACTAAGGATTATCAATATTGTTTATGTAAATTCGCTTTCCTATCAAATTTCAGCCTTATGGAACTCAATATTCGTTCAAAGTAAACAATGATGATAAATCTCAAGCAACGTAATCATTTCTATTGTCACAAAAAACTCTTATGTATTCAGGTTAACTTGACAACCAAAATTTAA